ATAAAACATTTCCCATGATAACTCAAAATTTAGTTATTAGTGTCATGCCTTTTATAGTTGGCATGCCTGTGTTTGTCTAATAATTGTCATATATAAATGTATTTATTATATGCAACTGAATAATGTTTTCAACATATATGCCAAATAGTTATTACTGTCATTTTAATAAGCTCCAGAAGTACATTAATTCCATCATAAAAACTCTTTAGTACTTAACGAAGAAAAATATTGTCCCAAAATACATAAACTTATTCTTACAAATCAGGGATTCCTGCTATTGCAAAATAAATGAATTGATAATTTACAGTTAGTTTGGTCAATATGTTAAAATTCCTCTCCATTTTACTGTTTAGGTAGATGATAAGAATGTAAAATCCCTGTGATTAAGAATATAGACAAACTGTAAGATAAAAATAAAAACAGACTGTGTAAGACAGGACTGTTTCCACATCCTAGCATACATGGTATGGAAACAATGTTATTTGATTTTGTTTATAATAAATTCTGTTTAGTGAATAATATATACAGATGATCACATCTGTTCCCACATATGAGAGACATTTGTTATAGATGCAGTGATGATATCTTCCAAGCATAAATCCAGAATACCTATTCTTAATGAAGGATTTTCTAAATATGAGTGATATATTTTATTTAGCAGTAATGTGCTTACCTGTATTATGGAACAGAACAGAATTAGATGAAATCAACACCAGGTCAAGTAATCCAGGACATATGGTCACCATAAAACTAAAAACAAAAACAAAAACCCTGCCACAAAAAGAAAAAAAGGATTATTATTTGCATTGGTTGTTTGATAAGAACTGAATGTTTACACGTAATTTTCTTACTCTGCTGCCAAATGACAGAAACATTTTCCTCAACTCCTTTAAATATTTTTCATTTGTAACATCTCAAACACTTAACCAAACAAAACACATTAAGCTCTAAGGAGTGCTATTTTAACAAAATTTCACTAGAGAAATTCAGTTGATCATTCAGTTGATCACTCACTCAGCTGTCAAGTGTTTATTTCTTGCTAGGAAGACAAGAATCAACCAAGAAGTTTGAGAAAAGCAGTTTTGGAATAGAGAAAGACTAACTGAAAAGGATATTATTTTAAATCACATCAAAGGAAAACAAAACCTGTGCTGTTTAGAGTTCATTCAGAGGGGCTCTGTCCACTATTACCAACTGCCAACTGGACTTAACTGCTTGTGTTCACACATGACAGCTTCACAGGTGACACCATTCTGTGCAATATCATGAGTCTGTGCTCTGAAGTAAGCCCCATTTTGCCCTTCTCGAATCTACTTTTATTTCAAGTAGAAAATCACACCCCTTTATTGCACCTTTTTCTAGAATATTAAAACAAAACAAAACATCAGTTCAAACAAAGAAAAGTATCCTCACCCAGTTAGAACCACTGAACCCCAGAGACAGAATAAGTAACTTTTTTCTCTTAACTCACACCTCTGTCGATGGCAGTTTATATGAAGACTAAATTCTTTCAATCTGATCTCACCTGTTTAGTGTTTCTCGACTCCTTGGACCACTCTCATCCTTAGCTCTGCTAGTTCTATCACTGTATTTCACTATTTGTACTGCCATTGTGGCCTTTGGTTTCCAAACTCTACTTTCTGCCTTCAGTTTCCAAACTCTACTTTCTTCCTCCCACCTCCCCCTATAATTTTCCTTCTCCATCCTTTTGAGTGATCAGGCCGTGCTCATTTCAGTATCTTCAGGGTTTAGAGTAGGGCTTAGCACCCAATTTATCAAAGGTTATGTACCCTTCTTTAGTTAAGAATTCTGGCCCAAGATCTTCAAAGACCTCAAAAGTAGAAAACAATTTTATTACTATCATTCATGTTATAACATAGGTATGGTAGTTATAATCCCTTATGTATTCTTTTACTTACTTCTATTCTATATTTTTATAGTGATTTTTACTTCTACAAATCACATTTATATCCTTTGTTTGATTGGATTTGAATCCTACACACTTGTGAAGAAGGCAGGATAGTTATTATTACCCCATCTTACAGTTGAGTAAATTGAGGCAGAGGTTAAATGACTTCTTTCTCTCTGTCAATGAATGATAGGGCTGTGACTAGAATCTTTACCACAGTTTTGTATGAACTGGAGTATAAATATCCTTTCTGAACCAAATTTCACAGAAAGGATAGTTATACTCCAGTTCATATATATACATAAACTGCAATATAAATATATGTTTATAAATAGTATACATATTGAATAAACATATATAAAATATATTCAAAATAGAATAAGCATGTGTATATAAACAGGTGTAACTATATGTTACGTGTATATACATATGTAAACATAAATTAACATGTATATGTAAACAAATTATGTATAGTTTCTTAATAAAAATGTAGAAGTCTAGAGGGATGTTCCTGTTTGCAATAAGTGTTTTATATAGCCCCTAATAGTCATGTGCATGTTATTCAGACTTGAAAAACCTATAATTCTAAAGGTTGTTTGCTAGTTACTAATGAGAGAAATCTTTCTTGCACTTAATTTACTTTGGTAGATATTTTTTGCAAAGATCACTCGAATGTGGCACTATATTACATGTCTCATTGAGTAGAGAGGAGGAAGATGAAAGGACATAATTAATTATAAGACAAGTCTAAAGCCTTCGATGCTTAAAGAGCTGTCCAACCCCAGAGAATTACTTCAAGCCTGAGGCTTGGATGGATTCCCTCACCTAATTATCATTACTTCTTGCCCTAATGAAATTCTGCTTCTTTTCTTTAGCAAAGTGAAGAGCATTTCTGATGCTTTGGATAAAGAATCAGGATGTGGCCTATTAATTTATTTTAATCAGGGAGGGAGAAGTGAGGGGGGGTCAAGAGATATACCTATTTAGAACAACAGTTAATCTAATGATTTATCTGACAGAATTATTCCACTCTAAATTGTCCCCAAAGAGACTTATTAGGGAGTATGAATTGAAAGCTCATTACCGTCACCTCCACACACGTTAGTGTGATCTCAGGTCTCTAAGCTTGCAATGGCTTATGTGAAAATATACTAGCAGCGCAAAGCCAAATGCAAAAAACACATGTCTTGCTGATTGTATGTTAAACTCCAAGGTAGGGTCAGCCATAGGCTAAACTATTAATTAGCTTATGTTTGTCTCTGACAAACCTTCGACCTCTTTTATTAGTCTCCTTTGCTTTCATGGTATCACCTTCTTATTCTCTCATGATCTCTAATTGCCCAGAACCCCTGCTTAGGCCTGCTTGGTTTGGCAGTACTCTGTGCTCTGAACCTCACAATTTCTCACAGCCATCAAAACCTCCTTTTCTTCAGGTTGAAATATAACCCCAAAATATTTTATACTCGGCGTATTAAGGAACTAGTATACTAGTATTTGAGGAAAGTTCAATGTGCTCTTCCTCTCTCCTTCCGTTTTGTTTTAATAGGGAAAAAATATTTTAATGCAAAGTGAAAAGTATGTAATGATGGTGAATCAATCAGAATAACTATGTAATGGTTATTTTATGTACTTTAGGTTACATGTCAATAATGGCAAATAACACATCTCAGTGACTTAAGCTAACAAATGTTTGTTTTACATTCCAAATTGGGCCCAGCCTGGGGAGCAGCCACCATTTCAAACTTTGCCAGTTGTTGTGCCAAAGGAAAGAAAGCTGTAGAAGGACTCACACTGGCAATAAATGTTCTGACCTAGACATGACACATCTTGAGGGACCCCGGAAAATTAGGAGCAATGTTGACGGTCCTCATACTCGTTCATCTTTTATCGTCAATAGCTACCACAGTACTGGGCACAGCAAAGACAATGAATGTTTATTAAAATGAAGTGATTTTCAGGGATTCTGGTTCCTTTTGGGTTTGGCTTTGTTTGTCTTAAACTGAAATAAATAACAGAACCTATGATGTAAAACCTGAAGGCCTCCAGATTCAGTGTAGTGTCCCTGGGACACTAAAGGTAGGAGGAATTCAAAGCCCTTTGAATCTATCTGAGAAGAATAGAATTCCAGGCTTATATCATTCAGGGCCAGGTCAGTTTCATAAATATCATATTTCTTCTGATGATTCATGGAAATAGCTCCACACAGTTATTACTTTTGTACTCCTTGGTGCATGGTATTGTGCAGTGAATATTTGTTGACTGACTTATATGTGGACAGACCATGGCTTATGGTCAGTTTTTAGAATCTTCTTTAAGCATCAGAGATGAAGTCTTAGCATCTTTGACAAAACAATTACTTTTTTATGTGGTTGTTTAAGTGGAATTTTATTAAATGTGCACTTTGATCATATAGTCCAGCCATATAAATACATAGGAACAATAGAGAGAGAAAGAAAAAAAAAAAACCAAGATATGTAGTTCAGGAAGTTCTATTTACCATTCCATCCACTGAAAGCGTGAGATGAAGAACCTCAATCTACCATGGTCTCAGTTGAACACGACTCAACTGTGAGAGCGACTGAGCCCATTGCATGTACTTCTGATATCCAAATATATGGCCAAGCATTTTTCCCTACAATTTGACTTCTAAATGTATGCCCACTGCTTCATGTGGCATTCACTCAAATAACCAATAATCTGTACCAATGCTGGAGGGAAAACTGGCTATGTTGGGGCTCGCTGTGAGGTGGTCTGTTTGTCTCCAGCATGGTGTGATTTTGACTGTATGTATGTGTGTCTGTTTGCCTAAAAGCAACTTTAGGACCTAACATCCCCTATAAAATGAGACTCCACAGCATTCTTATTCATCAGAGACCTAGACGTCATTGGCGAAGATGACCTTACTTTCTGTAGTCTGTCTATATTATTTTGATTAAAATATTTTGCTCTGTCTGCTGTTTCCATGTGTATGTCTAGAGTTATGTTGAAGCCTACATACCCATAAGTAGACTAGATATACCCACGTATAGTATACATGTTGCTTTTGCATGTCACAATCGGTTTAACATTAGCTCTCCATCCTTTTCGCCAGAGTGCCTACCGCATGTTTACAAACAACACGTGTTTGAAGCACATGATCACCAAAGTCCGGCGGGACACCCACCACTTTGAACGCTACCAGCATAACCGGGACCTTGTGGGATTCCTCAACATGTTTGCAAACAAACAGCTGGAGCTGCCGAGGGGCTGGGAAATGAAACACGATCATCAGGGCAAGGTAACATGAATTACTGGGGGGAAGCTGCTGAGTGACTGGGGGCTGCCTGTGACCTTGACACTTGGCTCTGCCCTTCAAGAGAGGGCTGAAAGCCCTTTGTGTGGTGAAACAGTCCATCTCCTGGTTTGAGTGAAACCTGGACAAGCAAATTGTTATTACAAACAGTTAAATTACACTGTTTTGAAGTAGTGCATGCAGTGGACAGGTGTGAGGGCACTTGTTCACCATACACTCACTTTTGCCTGAATATTCTTCTATCTGTAATCTCTCACCATTTTCTGCTGATTAGAGAAAAGATTTTGTAGGAAATGACACTTCCTTCTCCCTTGCTAAATAGCTTGTGTTATGAGTAGTTGAATAAAAGTTGTATTGTTTGGCGAAGGTGGCTAGGAGGTTGCTAAGCAACTGCCCAAGGTGTGTCTTTGTGACGCTGTCTGGGCTTGAGCCTCAGTCTTGTTGGTTTAAAACCTGATTTTGTTAGCACATTAAATAAGACTCATAAATTGATTAATTTATGATGAGACATATGTAGCTGTTTCTCACAGGCCAGAGTAACCACATGTGTATTTCTTTTGTAGACAGGGTTATAATCGGAAGGTTGTTAGATAAGTATGAAATCAGAATGAGAAATTTAGTAATTTTTATAAGGTGTTCCTTTATTTACTTAGCTCTTGTTTAGCACTAACTATGAGCCATGAACTGTTTAAGGTTTTATATATTTAAGCTCTTAACAACAACTCCATAAGGCAGTACTATTACAATTATTGGCAAGGAGCCTTAGGTCCAGAGTGGTTCAGTGACTTGCTGAGTGTCACAGAGATGGGCAGTGACTGAGCTGTGCTCTAACCCAGGCAGTCTGGTTTAAGGGCCCATGCTTTTAACCATGACATTATGCTCTCCAAGTAGTAACCAACCTCAGTTTCCCTGTCTGTAAAGAAACTTGAAATATGTGGTTCGTAGGGTGAGGAGGATTAAAATAATATGATATTTAAGGTAACTGTGCTTGGCTCATTCATTCAATAAATATTTATTGAGTACCTATGCAAATTACTAATAAGCCAACTACTTCATACAACTGCCATTCTCCTGGAAAGAGATGGGCAATAAACAAATAAATACATAGCATGCCAGGAGCCTGTTAATGCCATGATTTAAAAGAAAGCAGGGGTCTAAGAAAAGGCAGAAGTGGAGACTTATTTTATATAGGGTGGCTGGGGAAGGCCTCACAGACAAGGCTATACGTGAACAGAGACCTGAACGAAGTGAGGAGAAAACCGTATCGGAGGAAGAGCATTCAAGGTGAATGATATGTGTAAAGTACTCAGTAAATGCCATTCTCCTCCAAAGTACCCTGTAGCAATACTGCCACAGTAGCATCTTATTTATCCTGAACTCAGCTTCCAACAATCTCATCTGAGAACCTATAAACGGTCAAAATAGGTGTTACAAAGTGCATGTATTTTAATGCATGAGAGGAGCGCTCAGATTCTCATTGAAACCATTAATTTTTTTTCTGTAAATCTTTTTAATAAACCTCTAATTCCCAGCCCAGAAAAGATTAGATGTGGCAAGCATGAAAGTTAGGATAGGTGAAGGAGAATGGTTTTGTGATTATGTCCCTCGATCGCAGGTAAAATGGCACTGCATCAGTCAGGTGGGCATGGCAATTAAGGACTTTGAAAAAAACACTGATGGAGTTATACCTGGGTATACAAGAGCAATAGCATACCTAGAATTCAGTTCTGTTCTCAACTCTGACATTTACCTGGTGTCATGAAGAACTGTACTCATTAGAGAACTATGTCCAAAGAAAACCAAGTTGCTATAATACTACATATATTTCTACTTCGTGTAGAGACTTAACTTGCTACATCATTTTGTATCTTTAGCTAAAGGGGATTGGGAACTTGTAGTGTACACTAGAAGTGGAGAAGATAGTCTCTTTCTACCAGTCATAATTTGCTAGACACGCTTCAGGAGAGAGCTTATTAATAACCTCTGGACCTTGAGAAAAGTTTAAATTGCATTTAGGATACTGTTTAAGATGAATTATGATGAATTATTAAGAACAAGATTTGTCTCATAGCTTTTATAAAAGTGTTGATAGTTAAACAGTGGTAAACATTATCTCACCTCCGTGGGTAACACAGCTATCCATCTTATTCCCTGAGGGCTTTGGACTCGTGTGGGAGTTTCAACCTAAAGTTGCAGGCATTGTAAAGAACCCTGAAAGTGGGCTAATAGATAGCTGACCTCATAATCTACTGGTAGATTTGCAGTTGAATGGTGTTTGGTGTGCAAGGACCCCTGCCTTATGGTCAAAATGGATTATCAGACAGGCCTGAAAGCTTATCACTTTAGCCTGACCTCTCTGCTTCATGACTTAGGATTTTAACAAGATTTCTAACTAAGCGGGACACCTTAACTAAAGCAGATATACCTCCCTGTGACTTCTTCCTATCCTTCCTTTACAAATGATTGGCTTCTGATGAACTAAAATAACTTAAAAGAACATTTGGGAGAGGCTCGCGCTATGTCTGTGTTTGGTTGCACTGCTTTTGACTGCACTTTAGAAGTTATAACTTCCATCTTCCAGGCAGCTAATAGGTTTTCTTCCATGCCCTGAAATTTTAGGCTCCCTTTTTTTAATTTACTTATTTTATTATTATTATTTATGCCTACAGCACCTGGTCTTCCTAGGTGGTCTCTCATCCAAGTACTAACCAGGCCCGACCCTGCTTAGCTTCCGAGATCAGACATCGGGCTTGTTCATGGTGGCATGGCCATAGACCATGGACCATTGCTCCACTGGGGCGCAAACACAGGACTTTCTGCATGTAAAGCAGATGTGCTAACTGCTACACTATGGAACTATGTCCTAGCTTCCCTTTTATCAATGAATTGCTTTGCTTCCAGAAAATTTAAAGGGGTGAACTTTTTTTTTATTTACTATAATAACAAAAGCTTTTAAATATTATTAAGTTATTTTCTACAATGATGACTGATTTCTAGAATCGACATGGAATAAGGTGTCCAAATCTTCATCTGCATGAAATGATTCTTAAAAGGAATGTTCTCAGATTTAGTCTTTCAGGCTTATGAAATTTGGTTCTATGTCTTCTTCTCAAGTGCAACATCTTCCTTTCATGTTTCATTTAGTCATTCAACATACTTTCGAATGCCTGCTGTGTGCATGCCACTGTGATAACAATGATAAAAGCTAACACTTAATGTAGCATTATGTAACATGTAACATTGACTATGTACTAGATGATGTTATAAGCACTTAGATTAGTTCCTTTCATGCTCATAGCAGCCTTATAGATAGCTGCTAGGTTTATCCACATTTCATAGAAGAAACTGAGGCACAGCATAGTTAAGTGAATTGACCAGCATCCCACAATTAGCAAGCGATAGAATTGAATTTGAACCCAAGAAGTCTAGCTCCAGAATCTGTGCTCTTATACTGCCTTTCTCCAGTGAGTTGGGTGAATGGATATCTTCAGCAATTATAATGAAGGTAGTAAAAGGTGCTGTGGAGAAGGTGGGGGCTTTCAGACACATCCTCGAAGGGTAGTGCATTGGATGGGTTGCTCCTAACTTTCCAGGTGTAAGTGATTGGTCCTTTCTTGAATCCCACATAATTTCACTTGCATGGTTTCATGACATCTGTCCCCATCTGTCTCATGGTATAGTTCTTCCCAAACAGATGATCCCCTTCTCGGGAGTTATTATATTTATTTTTTAATTACCCCCTTTTCTACTCCAGTGCTTTTCACATAGAAGGTGCTCAGAACAAGTTTGATGAATGACTGAAACTCGTCACCAGTAGTTTCACTGTTATTCAATAATCTTTGCTTTGGACAAATGAAGTGGCTGCCAGCCTCCCTCCCCACTCCAACTCCCTCCTGTGCTCTCACCAGAAGTAGCACCTAGATTTGCCCCATTTGTCTTCACTTAAAGTTATCTTGGATTTTTCACATTGCATGTTTGAACAAGGTAGTGATTATGCTTACACTTTAGCTGTCTTCAATTTTTTCTAATTACTTAAGTGCAAGGGTTTAAATTGGGTGAGATTTCACAGGATTCTAGATCTGGTATGCTCTTTTGGGGAGTTTTAGGGTGAAAAACATCCTTGACTCACATAGAAGAAGTAAAATTTTTAAAAATTAACCATTAATTAAAGAATAAGAACAGAATATTGGGCCTTGCTAGGTAATATGGTGATGATGGTGATGACAATGATAATGATGACACCTGCATTTATTCAACTCGTACTATGTGCCAGGCACTGTACTAGATACTTTTCCATGGATCATCTTATTTGTACTTAATGGCACTTTATGAGGTGGGTATTATTATTATTATTATTATCCACATTTTACTGAAATTTAGAGATATTAAATGATGTGTGTATTAGCAGGCAAGGAAGGAATCCAGGATTCAGACTCTAGTAGTGTGACTCTTAAGCACTGCACTGTACTAGGAGGGATTCCCTTTGGAAATGAGAGATGCTTTATCATCCCAAGGAAGAAGAGTTTCAGGCCAGATGCTGAGATTACTGGTATCCTTGAAGGCTGAATGACATGTAAAGGTATTGATTAAATCACTGGTGCTCTGGCAAAGACCATATCACCAGAAACACATACTTGGGTCCATGCTTAAATATCACAAAGTCTTTATGGCATTCTTATATACTAAGGGCACATGGAGTTCACACACACTGATGGCTTATGAGATGTCAGGCTCTGTATTAGATGCCAGGCTCCATGCTAAGGATATTAGTTCATTTAACTTTCACAATAATCCTATGGAATAGCTTTTATTATAGATGAAAGAAAACAAAGCTCAAAGAGGTTAAGTGTGCAAGTTAAACTCTTAGATACAAATCCATGTCTTTATTCAAAACCTGTAATAATTTTTCTAGGCAACATTAGTCTAGAGCTCACTGGTCATTAACCACCTAACTTGAAATAATGTCATTTAAATTTACTGGATCC